GAGGTGGGGTTGGGTTTTTCACTCGGTTTATTGTCTTTTGTGAGGCCACGTAAACAGATTCCTGAGCCATTGTTGGCGGGTAATTCCCAAATCCAGCCGGGATGGGCTTTAATAACCGCTTCCTACCGGCTGGAATATGGGCTGAGCTCCTGAAATCGGGCCTGCCCTGGTGGGTTTCTGGCTCCAGGAAGAGTGGGATCCTCGGGAGAATGAGCCATGCCCGGCTCATTTGGGAGCACAGTTGGAATTAGCCCCTTTTTCCAGGAGGTGTGGCCACCACAGAGAAAATCACCACTTACTGCAGCAAAGCAAACAAAAAGGGAAAACATTACCCAGATTGACTCCTAATTCTCTGTGGTGTCGGTTTAACGTGGAACATGCCCCGACACATCCCAAGCCTGGCTTGGATTTGGGATTTCTCTGCTTCCAGCCCGGTGAGGTCCAGCCAAATTCCAGCAGTGAGGAAGGGAGGAGGCACCTCCTGGAGCTTTGGGATGACTCCCGGAGGGCTCCTTCACCTCCCAAAGGCCTCAACTTTCCTCACTTTCCTTAACCCACCTTGTCCCTGCTCCCCTGCCCTGGGATGGCATCAGGAGGGATGGAGTGGTTTAGGCTCCTGCTCTCCCAAACTCGTCATCCCAAATGAGTGACACTTTTTGGGGCAGGGAATTCTCCGAGCCCTCTGGTTTGCAGGGGGGGCGGGTGGATGATCCAGCCCAAAAAGCACCTGCCCGTGGCCAGGAGCAGTTTTATATGGATTTATAGAACAGATTTCTGTGGAATATGAGCTGTTGGATGACCATGGGACAAGTCATGGACAGGCTCCAGGCCTGAATCCCCCCCCATGCAGGATCTCCTGCTCCTCAGAGTCCCCCCCTGAGCCAGGACTGAATAATTACAGGCCCTTTTCCTCCCCCCCCACCAGACTATGAGCCATATGTGTAGTCTCCCCTACATCCTCACAAACACCACCACACAAAAAGCTCCATCCTCTCCAGCTTCCTCTGGGAGCCTCCAGAGCCTCCACTGAGCAGGAGCTGCTCCTGGCTCTGAACTGGGTGTTTGTGGGGCAGTTTGGCCTCAAAATAAACCCCCCTGTGAACTGCAGGGTGAGGAACCAGAGCCTGTGGGAGCCTGAGAAAGGCACCAATCCAGGGGGTTCCAGAGCATCTCCCTCCTGGATCCAGGATGCTCAGTGTGGGGGGGAATTCTGAGCCTCTGTAGTTCCCAGGCCCTTTTGTTTTGTTTTGTTTTTAGAGCCCTGAAATGAGCTCGGCTCAGAGTGAAAATGGGAAATGTCAGATGCTCCAAAATCGAGTTGCCTTCTAATAATTAATCCTGTCTGTGTTCAGAGAGCTGAATTGAATAATCCCACTGACCCTAATCCCATTTTGGAATCTGCCCCTGAAATGCTGTCCCTGTGTTTCAGGGGGTTTTTGGGGTTTTTTTTGGGGGGGGGCTATAGAGCTGATCTTTTTGGGGTTGTGCCTGTCCCCTTTCCCAGGGTTCTTCCTGCTATCCTGGCTGGAGCTTTGCTGTTCCAAAGGAATGAAGGTTGTGTAAACAGAGGGAAGGGGAGGGTAGCACGAACAGAGCAGGGAAAACTTTGGGAAAACTGGTGTTATTTACCAGGGGATTTCATTGTGCATGGGGAGAGAAACCTTTTGGCATCTGAGGTGGCACAGTTGAAACCTTTCTGTCATCAAATAATGTGGTTCATAAATAATGAGAGACACTGTTCAAAATACAGATTTTTTTTTTTTTTAAATTATTTTTGGGGGGAGGGTGTTTTGTTCACCCCCATTTGTCCCTCATTTCGGTGCCATCCCACATTCCAGGTGATGCTTTTGAAGCCAGCGCTTCGCTGGGGCAGATGGATAATGAACTGTTAACTTGGCTGTGGTCGAGGTGGTTGTTTGAAGGTTGAGGCAGCGAGGGATGTGAAGCACAAACTGGGTTTCACAGCCCCAGGAGAGGAGGGAGGAATTTCGGGGGGGATTTGGGAGCAAAAGTCCAGTGGGTTGTGCAGAAGGGATTTGACCCCGGGACAAGGGGGGGAGGGTTCAGCAGGAAAATGGCTTTTGGCCTCAGCTCAGGGACAGAGCTGGGGTTGAACTTTTTTTATTGTTATTTTTTGCCCCCAGTGCCACCTTCCACTATCCCAGGTTGTTCCAAGCCCCATCCAGGGATCCAGGGGCAGCCACAGCTTCTCTGGACACCTCTCTGTCCTCCCTTCTCCCCGTCCTCCTCCTTCCTCACATCCAACCTAAACCTCCCATCTTTCAGTGTGAATCCACTCCTTGTCCTGCCTCTCCATGCTCTTGGAAAATTCCCTTTATTAAGAGGCCAAACCTGAG